GACACACCACCCGCTGCATGAAAAAATTTAACCCTCAGGTCCTTTTTAAATCTATCCCCTCTCACTTTAAACCTATATCCTCTAGTTTAGAGCTCCCCCACCCTACGGAAAAGACTTTGGTCATTCATCCTCTCCATGCCCCTCATGATTTTATAAACCTCTATGAGGCCACCCCTTAGTCTCCAACGCCCCAAAGAAAATAGCCCAAGCCTATTCATCCTTTCCCAATAGCTTAAATTCTTCTTTCCGAGCAACATCCTTGTAAATGTTTTCTGCACCCCCTCAAGTTTAACAAAATCCATACATGGGTAACCAGAATTGTGCACAGTATTCCAAAAGTGGCCTCAGCAATGTCCTGTACAACCACAATATGACAACCCAACTCCCATACTCAATGTTACGACCAATGAAGGCAAGCGTGCCAAACACCTTCTTCAGCACCCCATCTATTGACATGCACTTGCACCCCTAGGGCTCATTTTTTGGCAACACTCTCCAGGACTCTACCAATTACTATATAAGTCCTGTCCTGGTTTGCCTTACCAAAATGCAGCACCTCACATTTATCTAAATGAAACTCCATCTGCCATTCCTCAGCCCATTGGCTCATCTAATCAAGATCTTGCTGTACGCTGAGATAATCTTCACTGTTCACTACACCACCTGTTTTGGTGTGATATTCAAACTTGCTAACCATTCCTCTGATATTCACATCCAAATCATTTATATAAATGACAAAAAGCAGTGAACTGAGCACCGATCCTTGTGGCACACCACTGGTCACAGGCCTCCAGTCTGAAAATCATCAAGCCTCAACTATCATCCATCTCCTACCTTTTAGCCAATTTTATGTCTAATTGGCTAGTCTCCCCCGGATCCCATGTGATCTAACCTTACTAACCAGTTTTCCGTGCAGAATCTTGGAAAGCACTTCACTGAAGTCCACATAGACAACATCTACTGTTCTGCCTTCATCAACCTTCTTTGTCACCTTTTCAAAAAACACAATCAAATCAGTCAGACATGGCCTCCCACACACAAAGCCATACTGACTATCCCTAATCAGACCCTGCCTTTCCAGATGCATGTAAATATTGTCAGGATTTGACTTCAAAATAACACTATTATCTTTCTTTCTGAATACTATTATACATAGTTATCACATACCAGACCCTGCTTTATAGTTACGTTAGGTAATGACTAATCTTTCTTCTTCATGCATCCAAGTCCATCTGCTCACTGAATACCTCACATTCTAGTCACAATAGTCTCACATTCTAGTGTGTCACCCAGACTGATCATTCTAGTCTGTTCTAATTTTGCCCACACTGTGGTATTTATACGCAGTGGATGTGCAGCTCTGTAATATTATTACATGGTTGCACCAGCATTTTAATGCCCTTACACAGCACTGCTGACTGCAAAACTGTAATGTGAATGAAAAGTTAACATTTAGTTTTCTAATACTCAGCCCACTGCTCCTACTTAAGTGAACTAAAATGAACCTTAAGCTCCTGTGAGTTTGGAAGTCCAGTATAATCTCTGAAAATGCCAGGACAAAAATTATGAAAGTATACTTTTGACTATTTTTTCAGCACAATGACATAAGCTGCAATGTCCTGGAAATTTCTCCATAAACTGCCTCAGCTGAGCATGAAGGGCTGTGTTTATTTGTGGCCCAAATACTATGGGGAACCCTTTCTGCACATGCGCAGATGTAGGGTGATGTCATGTTTAAAGTGAGAGGTGCCTTTAAGTATTAAATGCAGTTCTGTTTTCTGCTGCTGAGTTATGCTATTTTTTGCAAGCCACTGTCTCTTAATTGTTTCTCACACAACAAATAATTTGGAGATTTATTTATGATGCAGAGTTTTATTTAAGGTTAAGGTTTGCAAGTTATTGAGTAAAACAAATGATTTTCAAATAATTTAAGTTGCGAATACAAGATGCCTGGAAGTGGCAAGTAGGTAATTTCCACGATGGAATCATTGTTGTCTGTGAGAAAAACCCATCAGGATCATTAATGTCCTTTAAGGAAGGAAACTGCCTTCTGTATCTGGTGTGGCCTATGTGTGATTCCAGACCCAAATCAATGTGCTCAACTCTTAACTGCCCTCTGAAACGGCCTGGCAAGCCATTCAGTTGTATAAAGTCTAGCTAAAAAGAACTTGACCTTGTATTTTTCTAATACTCAGCCCATTGCTCCCACTTAAATGAACAACAATTAACCCTGATCTCCCAATAGTTAGAAAGAATCAAAGAGCGAAAATGGATGGACCACCTGGCAACGACCTAGGAACTAGAAACGACACCACAAAAACAGCCCTATCAGCCCTGCAAAGTCCTCCTTACTAACTGTCAGAGAGTTGCCCTGGGAGTCCTCAATATTGATTCTGGACACCTTCAGGTCTCATGGCACCTTGTCAAAAATGGGCAAGGAAATCTCCAATTAATTACCACATCCACTCTCGGTTGGTGAATCAGTGCTCATCCACGTTGAGTAGCACTTGAAGGACGTACACAGGGGTAAAAAGCGCACAAGAGTGTACTGTGGGTGGGGGATTTCAATGTCCATCATTAGAATATCAGTAGCAGTAGTACTGATCCAGTCAGTTGAGTCCTTTAGGACATTGCTGCTAGACAGGGGCAGCAGCAGAAGGTGATGGAACCAAGAAGAGGGAAAAACATATTCACTCATCCTCACCAATCTGCCTGCCACTGATGCATCTGTCCATGACAGTATCAGTCAGGTGATCATCACACAGTCCTTGTAGCTATTGTGGTCAGGTGGCCAGCAACAGAAATGGTGATGAGGCTGATTAAGAGCTACAATCAAGCATGCTGGGAATTTCGATTTCTCAGGAGGAGCCTTCGAGACCAATATTTGAGAAGCACATACCCTGAAGTCATCTTCAGAGGAGACAAAGAACCAAGAGGCAAGATCAACCCTGAGAACAAAGTCACCCACTTCACTCGAATTGTCAAACGTGTAGAGTTAAATTTAGTTAGGCTTAAATGTGAATTAAGTCAAAGATAATGTGGTTAAATGAAGTGAGTTAATGTTGAAATTAAGTTAGAATGATGTAAGAAGTAAATGTTGCAACAAATGTATGTTTTATATTGAATCTATTAAAGAGTTAAATAAAGAAGGAAAAGCAGAAATTGCTGGAAAATCTCAGCAAGCCTGGCAGCATCTGTGGAGGGATAGCACAGTTAATGTTTTGGGGCCAGTGACCCATCTGCATAACTGACTGTAGCTAGGAAAAGGTTGATGTATGTGTTCAAGAAGGGGCTGGGCTAAGGGGAAGGAGTGAACGATAGGTGGAGATGGAGCCCAGAGAGAGAGAAAAACAGTTGGGCAGACAAAGTAATGGGTAAAGATCAGCCTGGGAAGATTGAATAGCTGCCAATGAGAACCATTAGCAGCTGACAATGGGTTGTTTGTGATGACAAGGCCTGGTCTGTGGGTTTAGGTTAAGGACATGCTTAGGCCCTAAGATTCTTCACAGTATTGATTCCAGAAGGTTGCAAGCCTGAGACAGAGATGATGGATGGAACACAGTGGTGTGTTGAAATGGCAGACAACTGGAAGCCAGGGTTATGTTTGCAGACAGAACATATGTGTTCTACAAAGCTGTCGAGTCACAGTCTACGCTTCGTTACCCCAAAGTACAGGAGACCACGTTGTGAGTAACGAATGCAGTAGAGTAGATGGAGTGAAGTACAGGTAAAGCTTCATCTGGAACATGTATCTGGCGACTTGGATAGTGTGAATGGGGGTGTTAAAAGGGCACCTTGTGAGATTATATGGAAAGGTTCTGTCAGGGTGTGGGGAGATATTGGAAATGGAGTGGACCAGGGTTTCCGGGAGGGAATGGTCCCTGTTGAAGGCTGACAAGGGAGAGGAGAGGAATAAGTGTCTGGTGGTGGCATCTGCTGGAGTTGGCGGAAATGGCAACTAATGAGACTTTGGGTATGGATGCTGGTGGGATGGTAAGTGAGGACAAAGGGGATCTATCGCTGTTGTGGGAGAGAAGAGACAAGGTGAGGGCCAAAGTGGGGGAAATGGGTTGGACATGGCAGAGGGCTCTGTCAATCATGGTGCATAGTGAAATAATTCCAAAGAGGCCAGTATCCTGTCACCAAGTCACCCTTTATTTACAAATGGAAAGTTCTTAACGCTGGTCCAGCTTCCTCAGAGGCAGCTCTCAGAGTGAACAGAACCTTTTACACTCCTTCTTATACTGTCAGCCAAGGCTCCCTGGTTGGACGAGATGGGGAATTTCCAAGCCTCGGGGGCACATTTTTAAGGTGAGAGGAGAGAGATTTAAAAAAGATATGAGAGGCAATTTTTTTACACTGAAGGTAGTTGGCTTGTGGAATGAACCGCCTGATGAGGTGGATGCAGGTAAACTACAATGTTTAAAAGACATTTAGATGGATATATGAATAGGAATGGTTTGGAGGGATATGGGCCAGGAGCAGGCAGATGGGACTAGTTTAGTTTGGCATGGACTGGTTGGACCGAAGTGTCTGTTTCCATAATGTATGACTCTATAACAACCCCAATCAGGGAACTCGTCTTCCTGGCTGACCTCATTACAATCAATACAGCAAGGACTCCTTGGTTAAGGAAGAAGGTGGATATTTCGGAGGCCCCCTTCTCACAGTTGGCATCACTCAAACAGATAATGACGGAGTCAGAGGGCCATAGATGCTAGACAGCCAATGACACCCAGTCCTATGGCTGATTAAAAAACTGAGATGGCCGATCTTTGTCTTAGATATATTGTACATTAATAAGACCACGCTTATTCAGAGGGCAAAAATTGTCCCTTTCTTTTAAGGACTGGATACATGCAGTAAAACAAGGTTCTCACCTTAAACAGCAGCTCCTGTTGTCGATGTTACAAACACTAATAAATGCAGACCCTGACCAGTGCCTGGGCGCACACCCACTCACAACAATGTACATTTGGTTAGCGCCTACAACAACATACCTGCGCAGTGACAGAGTGAGCGAAGGCCAATTCGAACCATACGTCTGCTTTTCCAGCCGAGCAAGTGATGCCACTCCAGCCTCCGGTTTTACTCTCTACAAGGGGGCAGCTTGTAGTTCGACAAGATTGCTTTCTGGCTCAAAATCAAATCAAAACTCACCGCCTCTTCCTTCCTCACCCGTTTGCTTCCGCTATTCTTGTGTCATTTATTACAAATCACAGTTTAAAGCCCCCCAACTGGGTAATCGTGACAAATTCGGAAATGTTCAACAGTAAGGCACAGAACTGACTTTGGTCGAGCAGATTGTAAAGTTGATAACTGTACAGATTGTACAATATTAATCGAAAGTGTTTCGTTTGCCTTTATATTGGCGAAAAGATTTTTAGCCTTTGGTCAATCTTTGACCATTAACCGTTGACCCTGTGCAAATATTTGCATTTTTTTCACAACGGAGGCGTGGGAGTGAGTTACTCCTCTATCATAGTGAATGGGGTTTCAAACAGACTTGCTAATTAAAACATTAATACATTAAAAATGTAAAATAATCAAACAATTAATTGCGGTCTTTAAAACAAAACTTCCATACCCACCCCCGACACAACATTTTGGAGTGAGAGAACAATTACAAGTGGTGGAATAAGATCATAATTACACATTAATTACAGTTACAAACACAAAGTTTGCATCCTTTAAAATTGAAGTATGGCACTTAAACGCTTCACAGTGGAGTTTGGAGTAGCAGTTTAATGTTCACAAATCTGAGAACATGGAGGACAATTCAGAGATATTGGACTAGGTTTGCTAAATTTTCTTGGAAAAGCTCAGCAGGTCTGGCAGCATCTGTGAAGAAAAAAATCAGAGTTAACGTTTCAGGTCCAGTGACCCTTCCTCTTGTTCTGAGGGAGGGTCACCGGACCCGAAACTTTAACTCTGACTTTTTAATTAACAGATGCTGCCAGACCTGCTGAGCTTTTCCAGCAACTTCTGTCTTTATTTCTGATTTACAGCATCCGCAGTTTTTTGGTTTTTATTTGTTAAATTTTCTTCATGGTTTGGAATGGGAAGTACCACAGGTTGATTTAAGACACATTCTTCCCACAAGCACATCATTATACATGTTCTTCCAGAAGTTGTGTGTCACCCAAAATAAAACTAATGTCAAATTTCCTGAGGCCTGTGTCTGAATTTCACATAATGCAGAGTATTGAGACAGGCATGTATATCTGACATCTAATTTTGCATTGTAGGCACACCGTTAAGAGCCCTTGCTGTATATCCTATGTAAACAATTGCTTGCAAACACTTTGCTTGTTTTGTTGGAGAGGCTGGATTTCCTAACTCAAGGAGTCATTTCAGCATCCAATATGAAAGGTAAGGCCACGCTTGAGAGCTCTGAATCAACCAGCAGGAGTGAGCTACATGTCACATATTCATAAATCACAGTGCAGACGTGATCAGGAGAATGCTTTCAATTTATTCATTGAAGTAACTCACACATCAAATTTAATGCCATTTTAAGGTAACATTGTAATCTTTATCAACTTTCTGTCATGCTGGACCGGAACAGTGTCCTGAAAGACTGCCAGTACCCCAGGCCAATGCAATGTCTCAACACACCCGCTATCACTTTGAGTCAATGTTTGCAAGCACCCGCATTGCTGTGCACATCTTACTGGTTCTAATGAGATTGAGGAAGTGTAATCAGGTAGACCACAGGTCGTAGGGAAGGAAGAACAAGTAATGATGACAGAAAAGGAGTACTCACCATTGCCAGTTTGTGAAATGCAGTAGTGAGGTGTCGTTGGCAGCACGATCACACTGGGGTTGCAGGCACCTGGAAAATGTGAAGTAGCGAGCTAAGCTTGCAACTGGATTAAGAAAGAACTTCCATTCGATTACTGTCCATACAGGAACACTGCCACACTGGGTCATATACAGCCTTGATGTCGAGATCTGTCACTCTCACTTCATCTCTGGAATTCAGCTCTTTTGTCCATGTTTGAATGAAGGGTGTAATGAGGTCAGAGCTGAGTGCCCCTAGCAGAACCCAAATTGAGTGTCACTGAGCAGGTTATTGCCGAGTAGGGGCTACTTGATAGCGTGTTGATGACACCTTCCATCACGTCACTAATGATTGAGAGTAGACTAATAGGGCTAAAACTGGCGAAGTTGTTTTGTCCTGCTTTTTGTAAACGGGATATACCTGTGCAATTTTCCACATTGTTGGGTAGAATACAAATGTTGTATCTGTACTGGAACAGCTTAGCAAGGAGTGTGGCAAGTTCTGGATCACAAGTCTTCAGTACTATTGTCAGAATGTTGTCAGGGCCCATGGCCTATGCAGTATCCAGCATTTCCAACTATCTCTTGATATCACACAGAGGGAATCAAATTTGTTGAAGGCTGGCATCTGTGATACTGGGAATCTCTGGAGGTGGCCAAAATGGATCATCTGCTCAGCATGCCTGGCTGAAAATTGTTACAAATGCTTCAGCTTTATCTTTTGCACCGATGTGCTGCGCTCCAATCCACCAGTGAATTGTTTGACTATCCATCACCTTTCACAACTGCGTGTGGTAGGGCTGCAGAACTTAGAAACCGAAAGAACTGTAGATGCTGTAAATCAGAAACAAAAACAGAAGTTGCTGGAAAAGCTCAGCAGGTCTGGCAGCATCTGTGAAGAGAACATAGAGTTGATGTTTCGGGTCTGGGACCCTTTCTCAGAACTGAAATGTTAACTCTGACTTCTCTTCACAGATGCTGCCAGTCCTGCTGAGCTTTTTCAGCAACTTCTGTTTTTATTTCTGCAGAGCTAGATCTGATCTGTTGGTTGCAGGATCACTTAGCTCTGTCTATCATTTGCTGCTTATGCTGTTTGGCATGCACGTAGTCTTGTTTGTTATCTTCACCACGTTGATCCCTCATTTTTAGGTATGCCTGCTCCTGCTGTAGACATTCTGTCCTGCATTGTTCATTGAACCAGGGTTGATCCCCTGGCTTGATGGCAAAGGTTGAGTGTGAGATATGCCGGGCCATGAAGTTGCAGGTTGTGTTAGAATATGATTCTGCTGCTGCCGATGGCACACAGGACTCCATGGATGCCTGCTGTTGAGTTGCTGGATCTGTTTGATGTCTGTCCCCATCAGCACGGTAATAGAGCCACACAACAATTCATAAGCTGTTGTCAATGTGAAGTCAGGACTTTGTCTCCACAAGCAGTGTGTGGCAATCACTCTTATCGATACTGTCATGAGTAGATGCATGTGTGGTGGGCAGATTGATGAGGATGAGGTCAATTACGTTTTTCCCTCTTGTTCGTCTTCTCACCACCTGCTGCAGACCCAGTCTAACAGCCGTGTCGTTTAGGACTTTACCAGCTCGATCAGCAGTGCTGCTGCCAAGCCAGTCTTGGTGGTAGGGATTTCAATGTCAGCATACATTCTGCGCCTTTGCCACCCTCAGTGCTTCCTCCAAGTGTTGTTCAGCGTGGAGGAGAACTGATTTATCAACCGTGGGGGAACATTACATGATAAATAGCAAGAGATTCTCGTACTCATGTTTGACATGATGCCATGAGACTTCACAGTGTCAGGGATCAGTATTGAAGACTCCCAGGGCAACTCTGTCCTCCTGTGCACTTGATGAAATATACACCGACACAAATATCCTTGAGATGGATTACCCTGAGGCCTTGTTCATTGTAGCCTGTGACTTCAACCAGGCCAGCCTCAAGAGTGCACTACCAAGATTCCATCAACACATTTTCTGTCCCATCAGAGACTCAAACACCCTTGACCATTGCTGCACAGCCATCAGAGATGCCTAGCGTTCCATTCCCCGCCTGTATTTTGCTAAATCAGACCATGAGGCTGTGTTTCTTCTCCTGGCTTCCAAGCAGAAACTGAAAGGAGAGGATCAGGTACAGAAAGTCATACTGTGCTGGTCTGAAGTAATGGACAAGTTCCTGCATGACTGGTTGGAGCCTGTGGACTGGTCCACATATAAGAACTCAGCGGCCAACCTAAATGAGCATGCCACTACCATCACAGACATCATCAGTAAGTGTGGCGAGGACTTAGTACCAAAGAAGTTCATCCAGGTGTTCCCCAACCAGAAACCAGGGATGAATCAGGAGATCCACCCCCTATTGAATTCCAGATCTGAGGTGTTCAAGTTGGCGACCCTGACCAATACAGGAAATCAGGGTGAGATCTTCACAAAGCCATAAGGGACACCAAGAAACAATAGCAGACTAAACTAGAGTCCCAGACTAGCCATAAAAACACATGTCGACAGTGGCAAGGCTTACACGATATAGCAAGCGACAACGTTAAAAATGAGTAGAATCACTGACAACAATGCATCCCTACCCAATAAGCTCAATGCACGTTCTGCTCATTTTGAAGAGAAAGTCAGTGAAATGATGTCACTGGACCCAACAGTCTCGGGTGCACCTGTACCCACCTTCACCGCCTTGAACGTCAGATTGGCCTTCTTCACGGTAAACCAATGGAAAGCAACCAGCCTGGATGAAGTATCCAGCCATGCACTCAGATCCTGCATGGACCAGCTGTTGGAAGTATTTGTAGACGTCTTCAACCTCTCCATACTTCGATGTGAGGATCCCCCACCTTCTTCAAGAAGACCACTATCATTCTGGTTCCAAAGAAAAGTCAGGTAGCTCTGACATCCATCATTATGAAGTGCTTTGAGAGGTTAGTAATGGCATACATCAACTCCAGCCTCCCAGATTGCCTTGATCCACTATAATTCATCTACCATTGTAATAGGTCCATGGCAGACACCATCCCCCTGGCCCTACACTCATCTCTGGAACATTTGGATAACAAAGATACCTACATCAGGCTTCGACTTATTGTCTATAGTTCTGGCTTCAATACCATAATTCCAACCAAAGTCATCTCCAAACTCTGAGACCTAGGACTCTGGTCCCCCCTCTGCAACAGGATCCTCAACTTCCTGACCAGCAGACCGCAATCAAGAAGGATAGGCGACATCATCTCCTCCACAATAATCCTCAACATCGGTGCCCTGCAAGGCTGCGCACTCAGCCCCTTACTTTCCACCATGTACACTCACAGCTGTGTGGCCAAATTCAGCTCTAATTCCATTTACAAATTTACCGATGACATTACCATAAGGGTAGGCAATGGCCTCGTGTTATTACCACTGGACTGTT